TTGTAACCTCTTCCATCCTGCAACTCCTTTTCAGCAATCACCACACTGTTGTTTGTGTCCTTGAATTTTTCTCTCTTTTTCTTCTTTCGTTTCTTTCCTTCACCGCAACTCCATGTCTACACTCTTCTTAAGTAAGTTAAGGGCTCAGTAGCTTCTTTTTAAGTTTTAAAATGAAATTTAAGGGGGTAACATTGCTTAATATCATATAAATTGGAGATGCACACCTCCATGTATACAATACATACATACTCTTCTGTCTGGTCACCCCCAAAGTCTTGTTTCATTGTGTTGAATTTGACCTCTACCTTCTTTGGGCTCCTCCACTTCCTTCCCCTCTAGTATCTACCATTCCGTGTGTGTACCTACGAGTGTGTTTGTCATTGTTTTTTTTTAAATTTTGTTTGTTCGTGGCTTTCAATGTCATATCCCACATCTGAGTGGAAGACAGTGTCCCTTTATCCATGTGATAACTGAAGTCTCCTTCTCTAAGGCCACATTGTCCCAGCATCACCTGAGACACAAGGTTTTCAGGGGCAGATTGCCCACTGAAGATCCCTGTCCACCCACCTGTTCCTCAGCGATCAGTGTCTGGTGCTCAGTATCTCATTCCCTCAAGTCTCTGATCACTGACACAGACTGCGGCCCAGAGCCGTGAACCAGTCCATGATGGTGCATCTGGGCATTTTCCTTCACAACCAAGTCAGTGATGAGGTGAACCCCTCAGGAGAGGTTTCCCTGAGCCACTGTCCTCCTTGGATGTTCACAGATGGCCTGCTGTTTCATCCACATCCTGCAGAAGGGACTTGAAATAAGCCATCTTTCTCTGTCCTCCATGCACAGAGCACAGGGGGCTCCATGGGACCAAGGCCAAGACACATACTGTATAGCATGGGATCCAAGACTGTTGGGGCCACTGGTGACACAGCTGCTTCCTTCTGCAGGGTCTACCCAGGGGCCGTCCTGTGGGGACCACAGTGAGTGGGTGTCAGGTCTCCCTGTGTATGTTCTATATGACTCTGTGGGTGACATCACACCGAGGTCACAGTGGACAGCTCAGGTCCCATGGTAACCTGGTGACGTGGTTAAACATTCTTCCTGTGAAACTAAGTAAAGCCTTTGGGGCAAGTCACAGTCCATTTTGATGGACTATGGCAGTACCTTCCACTGATTTCTTGCTGTTTTTATCTAGAACTTCTTTGGACTTCAGAGGGGATGAACCCACCTGTGATGCCCCCTTGGACCTCAGCCAGAGCCTGGAAGCCCTGCCTCCTCCTAGGTCCCTGTGGCCAGAAGCCTGTGGGGATCAGACACCTGCAGATGTAGTTTCCTGCCCAGGTCTCCACAGCACAGTGACCCCTGATATCAGCTTCCCCAGTGTGTGGGTCTGGATCCTGCTCTTTTTCTGACACTCAGAAGTAAGGACATCTCGGAGGGTTTGCAGCCCTATGGTCCAACATGACCCAAGGGACAGGAGTTTAGGGCACTTAGATTCTTGTTTTCTGGGTGGAAATGATTTCTGAGTAAAAGCAGGTGGTTGAACCACTCACACTGCTGCCTTTTCAGAGATGAAGTATATTTGCCAATTTTGACTCAGTAATAACGCCACTGGTTTTTCCTGAAAAGGACAGCAGTTATTTGTGTGTTATGTCAAGACCTTGGCTGTAAACACTGAACATCTGCCCTGGGATTCACCCCCAGCACTTCCTAAGTCTCTGAACAGAACCTCTGTCCACCAGAGAAACTTGTAGGACCATCAGGTCTACAGAAACTGGTGGCCCAGGTCACAGAGCAGCTGGCACAGCAGGTGCCCCTGTCCCTGAGCCCTCTGTGTTTCTGGGCCCATCTCCCACTGAGCAGCATCTCAGCTCCCCCCACACCTGTGCTGGAGAACCCGACACAGTTGAGCAATGTGCTGCCTCCAGCATCAGAGGCTCCTGCATGCTGAGCATCTTCATCCTGTGTTGCAGGAGGGGCCACATGCCACAGATGCAGCTTCCCTTGCAGATGTTACCTGTCCTGCTCAGGATCACTGTACTGTAAATATTTCACTGAGTGAGAAGCCCCCTGAATTTGAGTGAGACTCATTGTGAAATTTGGACCCTCAGAGTCTGTCAGGAAGTCCCAGCAGCATTGTGCCCACTTACTCGTCCTGGAAGTGTCACAACACCCTCCTGGAACAGCCGGAGGGATGTACTATTGATGGAAAAGGCAGTCAGTTCCTCTGCAGACTAGGTGGGCACACAAGGTTGCAAGGGGACGTGCCCCGAGGTGGGGTAGTGAAAAGGTTTTGCAGGCCTTTTGCCCGAGTAAAAATAATTTGGTGACCTTTGGTCCACATGACTGGAAGGGTATTTGCAGCTCAGTAGGTTCATGTGGGTACCGGGGTTTGGGGTACAATGGATGCCTGAACTCTGGTTGCTCAACCAGGTTAACCACATGGATGCTGTAGCAGTGAGAGTTACATTTAGTTACAGTTTGCCTTAATTTACTGATTTCCTAAGCTTCTTTTGTTCCTTTTCCTCCTTATTCTTCCTGTTTCTCTTCTCTCCCTCCTGCTTCCTTTTTTTTGTACAAGTCTACTTAGAAGTGGAATGTTCATGTGGTAGAAATCAGCACCCCTGCATCTTCTAAATTCTTGTGTGTAGAGCACACACCTCTGTTGTCCACCCAGTTTCTGACTCACTAGTGTCTTGGGTGCATGCAGTTCTGATGGCTCCTGTTTAGACTTTCCCATCATATAACCTTACTCATTATATACAGCTGCTATGTCTATTTCTCTTGTGCATCCTAGAATGAGGGGACAATATTTTCACAAACTTCAAAATGGTCCTGACTTAAAATTCCATTTGAAACCTGCCCTCCAAAGCTCCTATTGTTAGTGTGGTGTTACAGTGACAATATGGATCCCTTGTCAAAAAGCAGTTCAGAACCAGAGTTCCGTAGTCTGTGGATGATCTGTTTCTCTGCTTTCTCTCTAATGCACAGTTACCCTGGTGAATGGTCTCATTTTCTTGGGGATGAAGGGTGACAGTAGAAATGTTCTGTTGTCTGTTGGAGTTTTGTCAGGAGGATCTGGTGTTTTCTTCACTGAAGAATTAAAAACTGTAACTGTCTCAGGACAGGGATTGGTTAAAGGACAGACTGAGTATGTTTATGATTCCAGCTACACTACTGTTCACTGCACCCGGGATGTATCTGCTTGTGTAGGTCCCGTGGAATGTGGGGGGCTTGCTGTCTTCACTTACAGGAGACCTGGGATTAGTCAGCCAAGCCTGCAGCTCACTGGTGGTCAGACTCATTTGATGATACTTTGATGTGCTGTCTTTTAGGTGATCAGATTTACTGAGCATCTAGCAGTAAGACAAGGTCCTTTGCCCCCGGCTGTCCTGCTACCCAATTTATCCACAGATGATTCTGTTGGCTCTAATACAATTTATTGGTGTGACCATGGTGAACAAAATGATACAGGGTTTTGGTGGGCAATTTTATCACATCATCTGTACAATTTATTGTAGTTTTACCCACATAAGTCTCTTTCACTATTTATCAACCTGTGCCCTCCTTCTCTCCTCCTCCTCCCTCTTCTGCCATAAACAATAAAGTTTTCTTTGTCTGTGAGTTTTTCTTTCATATTTTCTGTTCACTCATTTCCCTCCCTCTGTGGTCCATCAACCCCTTCCCCAAAGCTGTGAGCCTGCTCTCTACCTGTCACATTAGGTTTTATTATTGAGAGGATGCAGTTTCCCATGTTGGGTGTGGCCTTGTGAGAAGTGAACATGGAGGCCTTCAAATATTTTACATTTTTTTTGTCTAAAATGTACTTCTCAATGGGCCAGTGGAATGTATGTCATTTGGACACTCCCAGATTGTAAAACAGGACATCAAAGACAAACCCACTCTATCATTCCCATCCTCCTAAGCCCTTGAATTCCTCCCTCCACATCAAAGGAAGGAGCAGTGGCTTTTCCATGTAACAGTTTCTGGGCCATCACTGAACGCTTTCTTGAGCCAATAATCCCCTAAACTTTCAGAGCCTTTTCTGTTGGCCCAGATATGGCTGCAGATATAAATGCAGAGTCTGCCTCCTGAGCCCGAATTCATAAATTTGTTTAAACCAAATTTATGTTTCTTCTTAACATTATTATCCACCATTCATTATTCATAGACATATTACATATTTCTCATTTTGTATGTATTTCAAAATTCAGGTTGTCTTCTGATGGAGCAAACATCCTTGAGTTTCCCTCTCCGTCATCTTTAGGGCCTTGCAGGGACCCGAGCCAAGGTGCAACAGCTATAAGAACAGTCACTGCCATTCTTACATCTGTATGTTTCCTCTCACACAGTTGTCCATCTCTGACCAGTCCTGAATTATTCTAGTTTACTTCAGTGTCAGTCACATCTCTACAATGAACCATTCCCAGATTTCCAACCCTTGGTTTGGAACAACTGAGAACTAACACGGTGCTTTTCCTGAGGCTCTTCAAGCTGAATCTATGGTCTTGGATATGATCACAGAGACTATCCCAAGTGACTATAAAGAACATGTCCACCCCTGCCTGGTGTGGCTCAGTGCACTGAGCACAGGCCTGTGATCCAAAGGGTCAGCAGCTTGGTTCCCAGTCAGGGCACATGCCTGGTTACTGGCCAGGCCCCTACCAGGGGGCCAAGAAGAGGCAACCACGTGTTGATATTTCTCTCCCTCCTTCTTCTTCCATTCCCTTCTCTCTAAAAACAAATAAGTAAACTCTTTTAAAAAAAAGTATGTCCACGTTCACTTCTGTGGGCCACTCAGAAACTCCTTAGCATGTCTCTGCCATCAACGCAGACACTCAAACTGGAGACCTGGAAGCCCATGGGGGCTGCCCCACTGGCCTCACTTCTGCATCGAGTAATGCCGTGACCCAGGAAGTAGACATTTTTCTCATTGGCTGGACTCTGAAGTAGAAATTGGGTTTTAACCTTTATTCACTGATTTTCATTTATTTTCACAGACACTATTGCTCATGGTCTGTCTGATGATTGACACCACACAGCACAGCTTCTACTGCTGAGTCTAAATGATGTGCCTGATAATCAGTGAACAAATGGTAGGTAAACAAAAATGTATTTCTGTTACTCAGAGAAAGAAAACATCTCTTCTCCTAATTCAGAGGTCACTGACTAAAGATTTTTTAAGTTTTTTAGAGTGAAATTTGTCGGAGTATATTTGGTTAACGTTGTATAAACTTCAGGTGTAGAATTTGTAATGTGACATCTGCCCACTGTGTGTGTGCTCACTGTCCAGGGTCTGATCTCCTGTCATGTGGGCTTTGACCCCTTTAGTCTCTTCATCTTTATTCATCCCCTCTTTTCTTGTAATCAACCATAGTACTTGTCTGTGAGTATGTCTATTGTTTGTTTGTGGTTTTTATTTATAAGGTTTTTTTAAATGTTTTTTTAAAGATTTTATTTATTTATCTTTAGAGGGAAAGGGAAGGAGAGAGGGAGAGAAACATCAATGTGTGGTTGCCTTTTGTGCGTCCCCTGCTGGGAACTGGCCTGCAGGGAACCTGCCTGCAACCCTGGCATGTACCCTGACTGGGAATCGAACCGCGATTGTCTGGTTCGCAGGCCTGTGCTCAATCCACTGAGCTACACCAGCCAGGGCTATTTATAAGTTTTATAAGAGTAAAAGGATAGAATGTGTCACCTTGTCCACTTGATTATCAGTGTCCTCCTTCCTGAGGTCCCACTGTAATGGGAATCACATGACAGACAAGTGTCTCCTGGGATTTTTCCCACAGAGAGATCTTTCTGCATACCTCTTCCCAAGTTATATTGTCAGCAATATTATCATATTTGTTTGAGGTTTCTAAGTATTGATGTAAAATACTGGCCATCCCTGGCCAGGCAGCTCAGCTGGTTACAGTATCTTCCTGACAGGCCAAGGTTGCATATTGATTCCCCAGCTAAGGCAGATGCAGGAATCAACCAGTGAATGTGTCACTAAATGGAACAGCAAGTTGACGTTTGTCTGTCTCTTTGTCTTTGTCTACCCTGTCTCTGTCTAAAAATCAATACATTTTTAAAAACAGTAATAAAAATGAAGTAAAATATTGGCCAGATGATAGAAATCATGTAACTGCATATCTTGTCCTTTATGCTTTCATCCAAGGTCATGATGAGGGGCACATGTTCCTATGGAGGTTTTTCTTCACCCTCTGTCCTTCATGAATGTCCCATAGATGTCCTGTCACTTTGGAGCCATCCACTTCCTAGTTGTGCCTCCTGACTTTCCTCAATGATCTGGAAACCAGGCCACGGTTTTCCCCCTCTGCCCAAGGTCATCAGAAGCTCCCAGCATGTACACAGGTGCAGACTGATGGAAAGACACACTAAAGACTAAGACATTTGGGCCACTTCATTAAATCCTTTACCTGTGCCCTGAGTGTTAGCCCAGGTGCAATGGCGTATGTAACGCTTTAATAGATGTCATAGTCTTCCTGTGTGTGACATCAAGCCCAGGTAATAATGGGCAGCTGAGGATCCATGGCATCCTGGTGGCCATGGTCCAGTGCTTATTCTTTGAAACCAAGGAAACCCTGTGGGACAGATCACAGCTCATTTTGAGAGGTGATTAGAACCACTTCCTGAGACTGTCAGCTCCTCCAAGGTGGGACTGCTTTGGGCCTCAGAGGGATGAAGGCACCGTGATATCCAGGTGGACCTCAGCCTGCACCTGGGGCCCCTGCCCCACCACGGACCATATAGAGCCAGGGTCCCTCAGAGCTTCTGGAATGGGACTTCTGTTCACCATGTTTTCACAACTGACTCACCAAGGAGGACGAGGTTTGCCAGCCTATGGGCCCAGGCCCTGTTCTCTCTGGGACTGTGAAGATAAGGGCCTCCTGGAGGGGCCCCAGCCCTGTGTCCATCCTCCACAGGCTTTCTCAGTCTTGACACCCCAGTGACAGAGGATCAGGGTTCTTGACTCCGTTGTTTCTGCTATGCAAAGATTTTGGTGGTTGAGTGAAGGGCTGGGGTGATTTCACTCCCGGGACTACATTTGCATGAAAGAACTCTGCTTGATAATGTGACTGAAGTTAGAAATGCCAAGTCGTTATTCGAAGATGCTGTCATTGTTTTTCTGTAAGAGCAAGTCCTCAATTCCAAATCCTGAACATTCACTCTGTGATGCACCTCCAGTTCCTCCTGAGGCTCAAACAGAGTCCCTGTCATATCTGTGACAGCTTATGGCCCCTGTCACAGAGCACCTGGCACAGCAGCCTGGACCAGTGACAGAGCCTGTATTTTCCTGGGGCCAGCTCTAACCGAGCAGCTGCTCAGGCCACTGCACCATTTGATGCAGAAAGTGGTCCTGAGAACGGGGCCGTGTCCAACATGCAGAGACAGCTGGGTGCTGGGATCCTTTTTGGTTGAAGGAGGTAGTGAACCGTGTGAATCACCATTTCCTGTGAAGCCATTACCTGTCCTGCATGATATGGTAGACTATAAATGTTTCCAGAGGGAGGGGACTCCTGTGTTTTAGTCAGATTTTCCCCACAACTTCTGGCTCTCCTGGTGTCCATTGTAGAGCACAGCAGTACTGTTCCCACTGCTGGGTGCCCCAGCATCACCACATCCTTGTAACAGAGCAGTAGGAGGGGTGGCCTGTGCAGGGAAGAGGCAGCCAAGACTCTGCAGACAAACTGAGGCTGAGAGGTAGAGGGGCCCCTGAGGTGAGAGACTGAGGGTGCATTTCCCACCGTGACTCAAGAGGAAACTGCTATGGTGAATGTTGGATACATTTGCAGGAGAGGACAGTGCCCAGGTCAGCAGTTGCACACAGTTGTCAGGTGAGGTGTGAGTGTGCTCCCCAACAGTCCACGTTGTGCGGTGGCAGGAGGTGGGTGACCGGTGTGATCATTGACAGTCATTCTGAGTTTATTTATTCAGTCATTGCTCAAGCAGATAAAGAATATAATGAAGATTCGTGGGAACTAGTACCCCTGCACCTTGACAGTGGCACACTTCTGTCATCCACCCAGGTGTATATGTAGCTTCTGACTCACTGGTTTCCTGGGTGCGGGCGGTTCTCACAGCTTCTGTTCAGACTTTCCCACCCTAGCACCTCACTCCCTATTGATCCACTGTGGGGATCTTTCAGCTCCTACATCTGCTTCAGGCTTGCATTCTAGAACTAGGGGACAAGGACAGGATTGGGCCTGGATAGACACGACAGACCTGAACCAGAACCCCATTGGCCAGCTGACCCTCAGTGCCTTTTCCTTGACCTAGGATCACAGTCACCTTTTGGGTGTCATAGGAGCAATGTCAGTTCTGAACCTGTCCCCCAGTATTATCAGTTCCATTATACCCCACCAGGAAGGAGCATTCCCACTCATATTCTTCTTCTCTCATTGTATACACTGGAAAACTCAGAAAGTGTTGCATAGTTTCCAAGGTTCAGTCCATGTCCCTCACCTTTAGGGTCCTGTAGGCACTTGAGTCTGTTCAACGTGGCACCTGAGCCTGGTCAACGTGGCACCTGGCTGCAGGGAGGCCATTAGTGCTCTTTCTTTTGAGTGTATTTTCTGCACATTTTGCCAATCTGTGATGAGTCCTGATTTATTCCAGTTTTCATCACCATGTGGTTACAACTCTCCTAATTGACCCCTCTGCTCTCTTCTCTTCTGAGTTGGGATCACTGACAACTAAAACTCTTCTGTTACTGAAACTTCTCCAGCTGAATCTAGGCACTTGAGTGGAATCTTCGAGGAGATCAGCAGCTGTGATTACGGATCACAGACCCCACGTCACCTGGTGTGGGGACCGTGCAGGGATTCTACAATATCCCTGCCTTCCCTATAGGTGCTGAGACTGCACCGAGGAAATATGGTGGATCCTCACGCTGTTCTCCCCCCACCATCTGATGATGCCTCACACCGACATTTAGAGTGTTCTGGACTGTGTGACCTTTGGAATCATAAATTGCCTTTTCAACTATTAATCTTTGTATGTCTTTATTTTCATAGAAACTCTTCCACATTAAATGTCTGATGGATACACCATACAACACACTCCCTACTGCCAAGTTCAGCAGATGTTTCACCAGATCCTTAGTGTACTAAGGTAACTAAACAAAAATAGTCTTATATTATTTTAAAAAATAGGAAGAATGTCTATATTTTTAAATTGTTGTGTTTTTTTTCTTTTTACGCAATTTGTTGAGTGACACAAATTGACAAGAGTTAAACAAGTTTCAGGTACACAATTGCACAACACTTAGTACACTGTACTGTGAGCTCACCACCCCTAGTCAAGTCTCTCTCCATCACCATTTATACCCCATAACCTCCTTCACCCCCCAACTTCTCTCCAGCAGTCACCACACTGTTGTCCATGTACATGACATTGGTTAATAACATATTGTGAATTTCAGGTGTGCAACTGCATGTATACAACTCATACATACTCCAGTGTGAGCTCACCCCCAAAGTCTTATGTCATTTCATTAAGTTGAATTTGACCTCTTCGTGCTCCTCCACTGCCTTCCCCTCTGTTATCCACCATTCCATGGGTGTGCCTACGAGTGTGTTTGTCATCGATGTTTTGTTTCTTTCCTTCACCCCAACTCCATATCTACACTCTTCTTAAATAAGATGAGGGCTCAGTAGCTTTTTTTTTTGAAGTTTTAAAATTAAATTTAAGGGGGTAACATGGCTTAATATCATATAAATTTGAGATGCACACCTCCATGTATACAATCCATACATAGTCGTCTGTGTGGTCACCCCCTGTTTCATAATGTTGAATTTGACCTCTACTTTCCTTGTGCTCCTCCACTCCCTTCCCCTGTAGTATCTACCATTCCATGTGTGTACCCATGAGTGTGTTTGTCATTGTTTTTGTACTTTGTTAGTTGGTGGCTTTTGGTGTCATATACCACATCTGAGTGAAATGACAGACTATGTCCCCATATCCATGTGATAACTGAAGTCTCCCTCTCCAAGGCCACACTGTCCTGGCATTGCCTGAGACAGAAGGTTTCCAGGGTCAGACTGTCCACTGAGGAGCCCTGTTCACCCACCTGTTCCCCAGAGGTCAGTGCCCACATGCTCAGTATCATGTTCCCTCAGGTCCCTGATCACTGACACAGACTGCAGCCCAGTGCCGTCAGTCAGCCTGTGATGGTGCATCTAGGCATTAACCTTTCCAGCCAAGTGAATGATGAGGTGAAACCCTCTGGAGGGGTTTCCCTGAGCTTCTCTCCTGCATGGATGTCCACATATGGCCTGTCATGCTGCTGCTGTCTTTTTTCTGACATTTCATCCCCATCTTGCTAAAAGACCTAGGAACCTTCCATGATTCTCCGTCCTCCATGCACAGACACATGGGCTCCCTCAGGGCCAAGGCCGAGATACACACACTGTACAGCATCAGTTCCAAGGGTGTTGTGGCTACTGGTGACACAGCTGCTTCCTCCTGCAGGGTCTGCCCAGGGGCCGTCCTGTGGGGACCACAGTGAGTGGGTGCTGGGTCTCCCTGTGTGTGTTCTGTATGACTCTGTGGGTGACATCACAACAGGTCACTATGGACGCTCAGGTGCCATGGTAACCTGGTGACCTGTGGTCAAACATTCCTCCTCTTAAACCAAGGAAACCCTTTGGAACAAATCACAGTCATATGGAGGGGTAATGGTAATATCTTCCCATGAATTATTGCTCTTTTTATCTAGAACTGCTTTGAACTTCAGAGGGGATGAGTCCACCTGTGGTGCCCCCGAGGACCTCAGCCAGAGCCTGGAAGCCCTGCCTCCCCACAGCTCCCTTTGGGCAGGAGCCTTTGTAGATTGGACCCTTTTGAATACAAATTCCTGCCCAGGTCTCCAGAATCCAGTGACCCCTGAGTATCAGCTTCATCAGTGTCTGAGTCCAGTGTCTTGTCTTTTCGGAGACTTAGAGGTAAGGACATGTCGGAGGGCTGGCAGACTGTGGTCGGTCCTCCACACTCTTTCTCAGTCATGACATGAGGCTACAGGATGTAGAGTCTTAGATTCCAGTTTACTGGGTGGAGATGATTTCTGAATAAAAGCTGGTAGTTGCCCCACTCACGTTTCTGCATTTTCAGAGATGAAGCACATTTGCCATTTTTGATTCAAAAAATAAGGCCAATTGTTTTCACTCAGAGGCCAGCAGTTATTTGTGTGTGATGTGAAGAAGTTGGCTGAAAATGCTGAGTGTGTTCCCTGGGGTTCAGCCCCAGGTCTTCCTGAGGCTGCAAACAGAACCTCTATCTGATAGTGACACTTCTAGGACCATCTAGTCCATATCAACACATGGCCCAGGTCACAAGGCAGCTGGGGCTGGCAACCCTGTCCCACAGCCCTCTGTGTTTCTGGGCCTGTGTCCATCTGAGCAGATTCTCAGCTCCCCCCACATGTGGCCTGCAGACCCCAACACGGCTGAGCAATGTGCTGCCTTCAGCATCAGAGGCCCCTGGGTGCTGGGCCTCTTCATCCTGTGTTGCAAGAGGGGCCGCATCCACAGATTACTGCTTACCTGGCAGCTTTTACCTGTCCTACTCAGTATCATTATACTGTAAGTGTTTGACCGAGGGAGAAGCCCCCTGAATTTGAGTCTGAACCGTTGCAAAATTCTTACCCTCAGAGTCTGTCAGGAAGTCCTAGCAGCACTGTGCCCACTCACTGGTACAGGAAGTATCACATCATCCTCCTCCTAGAACAGCAGGAGTGACCTTCTGTTGATGGAAAAGGCAGTCAGGTCCTCTGCAAACTAGGTGGGGACAAGGCTGCAGAGGGGTGGTGTCCTGAGATGGGACAGTGAAGGGATGTGCAGGCCTGCTGGCTCAGTAAAATTAACTGTGCTGACGTGTGGTCCACATGACTGGAAAGGCATTTCCAGATCAGTACCAGCTGTGGTACTGTGGGTACCAGCAGATGCCAGAACTGAGGTTGCTCAACCAGGGTAACCACGTGGCTGCCGCAGCAGTGAGAGTCACATGTAGTAACAGTTTGCCTCAATTTACTGTCATTTTCTAAACTTTTTCTCTTTCTTCTCCTTGGTCTTCTCCTTATTCTTTCTGTTTCTCTCCCCCGTATTTTTTTTTATTCTTCACAAGTCTAATAAGAAGTGGAATGTTGTTGTGGTGGGAATCAGCAGTCCTGAATGTTCTAAATCCACCCAGGTGTGTGGACAGCGTTTGACTTACTAGTTTCCTGCATGCAGGCAGTTCTCATGGCTTCTGTTTAGACTTTCCAATTATATAACCCTCATTGCCAAGAAACAGGTGTGGAGAATGTTTCAGCTGCTACATCTATTTCTCTTACGCATTCTAGATCTAGGGAACAATAACATGTTTGGCATGGTGACATTTTGACCCACTTCAGAATGGTCCTGATCTAATACTCCACTGCTCAAATTGGTCAGCTCCCCTAAAAGCTCCTAGTGTTAGTGCAGGGTCACAGTGACACTCTGGATTCCTAATCCTAGTTCAGTTCAGAACCAGAGTCCTGTGGTATGCTTCTTAGGTTTCTCTCCAAAACAAGGTTACTCTGATGAAGACTCTCATTTTCTTCAGCAGGAAGTCAGACATGAAGGAAGGTTGACATAGAAATGTTCTGTTGTCTTTTGGAAACTGGGCCAGAGGATCTGGTCCTTCTTCACTGAAGAATTCTAAGAATCTACACTGGCTCAGGACAGGTTATTGGTTGAGGGACACACAGAGTGTCTTATGGTTCCAGCTCCACCACTGTTCACTGCATCTGGGATGCTTCTGCTTACACAGGTCACGTAGGATGCGGAGCTCACTGTCTTCACACCCAGGAGCCCCTGAATTAAATACCAACCCCACAGTTCAGTTCTGGTCATTTCCTGGTGCTTTGAGTTGCTGTCTCTTAGGGTGATCAGATCTACTGAGTGTTTAGTGATAGGACAAGGTCCTTTGGCTTTTGCTACCTCAGGACCCAATTTATTCCCTCACAATTTTGTGTTTTTATTGAATTTACTGGGGGTGACACTGATTAACAAAATGATACAGGGTATGCCATGGGGACACTCCAAATTGGGAAATAGGACCTAAGTGACAACCCACTCCAACATTCCTGTCCCCCTAAGCTCTTGGATTCCCACGTCCACATCAAAGGAAGGAGCAGTAGCTTTTCCATGTGACAGTTTCTGTGCCATCACTGATGCTTTCTTGAGCCAAACACCCCCTAAACATTCACAGCCTTTTCTGTTAGCCCAGATATAGCTACAGATATAAATGCAGAGTCTTCTTGTTGGACCCAGATTAATGAACTTCATTTACATTCATTTATGTTTCTTTTTGACATTATTGTCCACCATTCATTGTTTACAGACATATTGCATATTGTTCTCTCTGTATGTTTCTAAATCACATAGTTCTTCCCAATTATTTCATACTTCCACATGGTTACCTCTTTGTCTCTTATTTTAAAGGTCCTACTGTGACTTGACTCCAGGTTACCCTTGTGTGTTTCCTCTCGCACAGTTGTCCATCTGTGACCAGTCCTGAATTATTCTAGTTTCCTTCAGTGTCAGTCACATCTCTACAATGAACCATTCCCAGATTTCCAACCTCTGGTTTGGAAACACTGAGGACTAACACAGCTCTTTTCCTGAGGCTCTTCTGCTGAATCTCCCCTCTTAGATATGATCATGGAGACCGTTTCAAGTGACTTTAAAGAATATGCCTGTGAGCCACGCAGAAAGTCTTTTACATGTCTCTATGCCATTACCACAGACACTGGAAGTTGAGATCAGGAAGCCCATGGGCTGCCCCCGTGGGCATCACTCTCGTGTTGAGTGTCGCTGTGTCCCAGGACTTAGACGTTGTCCTGAGTGGCTGGACTCTGGAAGCAGAAATAGCATTTTAATGCTTATTCATTGATTTTTTTTATTTTCACAGAGACCATGGCTCATGGGCTGTCCACTGGTGATACCACACAGCATACTTTCTACTACCAAGATTCAAGAGATGGTACATGTGATGCTTAGAGTGAGCAAAAGGTGAGGAAACAAAAACATATTTCTGTTTTTCAAAGAAAGAAAGCATCTCTTCTTCTTCTGATTCACAGGTGACCAATTAAAGGTCTTTTAATTTTTTTTTTAGAATGAAATTGGTTGGGGTACATTGGTTAATGCTATATAAACTTCAGGTGTATAATTTGGGGCATGACATCTCTCCATTCTGTATGAGCTCACTGTCCAGGGTCTGATCCCCTCTGTCACCTGGGGTTTGACCCCTTTAGTCTATTCATCTTTGTTCATTCCCTTTTTTCTTCTAATCAACCATACTACTCTTTTTGTCTGTTAGTCCATCTGCTATTTATTTGCATTTTTATTTATATGTTTAATAGAAGTGAAAGGATAGAATGTATCATCTTGTCCACTTGATTGTCAGTGTCCTCCTGTGTGAGGTCGCACTGTGATGGAAATCACATGACAGACAGGTGTCTACTGGGATTTGCCCATGGAGAGAGATCTTTCTGCATACCTCTTCCCAAGTTTTATTGTCAAGAAAATTAACATTTTTAAATTATGGTTGTTTTATTTTTATTTATTTATTTATTCATTTTAATTTTATGTTTTATTTTTTTATGTTTTATTTTAAATGTTGTTCAAGTACACGTTTCTGCCCTTTACACCCCCACAGCCCCACAGCACACCCCCACAGCATACCCCCACAGCCTCCCCATCTCCCTCCCATCTCCACTCTTCTTTTTATTGTTCATGTGTTTTTTATACTAGTTCATTCAAATCCTTCCCCCCTCTCTCCCCTCTGGTCACTGTCAGCCTGTTCTCAATTTCAGTGTCTTTGGTTATATTTTGCTTGTTTGTTTGTTTTGTTGATTAGATTCCTGTTAAAGTTAGATTATCTAGTATTTGCATTTTGCTGCATGGCTTATTCTGCTTAGCATAATGCTTTCCAGTTCCATCTATTGTGTTGCAAAGGGTAGAAGCTCTTTCTCTCTTTCTGCTGCATAGAATTCCATTGTGTAAATGTACCATAGTTTTTTGATGCATTCAGTTACCGATGGGCACTTGGGTTTCTTCCAGCACTTGGCTATTGTAAATTGTGCTGCTATGAATAATGGGGTGCATAGGTTCTTTTGGATTGTTGTTTCAGGGTTCTTAGGATATAGTCCTAGTAGTGGAATTGCTGGGTCAAAAGGCGGGTTCATTTTTAGTTTTCTGAGACATTTCTATACTGTTTTCCATAGTGGTTGTACCAATCTACAATCCCACCAACAGTGCACTAGGATTCCCTCTTTTCCTCAACCTCTCCAACACTTGTTGTTTGTTGCTTATTTTATGATGGCCATTCTCCTCAGCGTGAAGTGTATCTCATTGTGGTTTTAGTTTGCATCTCTCTGATAGCTAGCGAGAGCATCTTTTCATGTGTCTCTGGATCCTCTGTATGTCCCCCTTGGAGAAGTGTCTGTTCAAGTCCTCTGCCCATTTTTTAATTTGGTTGCTTGTCTTAGAGTAGAGTTGTGTGAGTTCCTTATATATTTTGGAGATTAAACCCTTGTCTGAGGTATCATTGGCAAATATGTTTTCCCACAAAATTAATTCTCTTTTTATTTAAATACTGTTTTCTTTTGCCGTGCAGAAACTTTTCTTATTTTGCTTTTATTCTTTCTTTTATGTCCCTTCCTCTAGGGGACATATGAGTGAAAATATTGCTGTATGAAATATCTGAGATTTTCCTGCCTATGTTCTCACCTAGGACTTTAATGGTGTCATGACTTTTATTTAAATATTTTATCCACCTTGAATTTATTTTTGCGTATGGTGTAAGCTAGTGATGAAGTTTCATTTTTTTGCACTTAGCTGACCAGTTCTCCCAACACCATTTGTTGAAGAGGCTATTTTTACTACATTTTACATTGCTGTCTCCTTTTTTGAATATTTATTAACCGTAGAGACTTGGGTCTTGACTTGGGTTTATTTCTGGCCTCTCTATTCTGTTCCATGTGCCTGTTTTTATGCCAGTACCAGGCTGTTTTGATTACAGTGGCCTTGTGATACAGTTTGGTGTCAGGTCATCGTTATTTCTCCTACTTTGCTCTTCTTTCTCAAAATTGCAGCAGCTATTAGGGGCCATTTATGGTTCTGCATTAATTTTTGAAGTGTTTTCTCTATGTATGTGAAATCTATCATTGGTACTTTAATAGGTATCGCATTGAATCTGTAAATTGCTTTGGTAGTATGGACATTTTGAGAATGTTAGTTCTTCTAATCCATGAACACTGTATATGTTTCCATGTGCTTGTGTCTTCCTTGATTTCTTTCTTCAGTGTTTTGTAGTTTGCTGAGTACAGGTCTTTTCCTTTCTTTGTTAGGTTTATTCCTAGGTATTTTATTTTTCTTGTTGCTACATGAAATTGGATATTTTTCTTGATTTCTGCTTCTGATGTTTTATTGTTGGTATACAAAAATGCCTTTGATTTCTGGATATTGACTTTGTATCCCACTGTTTCATCAAGTTCATTTACTCAGTCAAGCAGTTTTTGGGTGGAGTCTGTAGGATTCTCAATGTACACTATCATGTCATTTGGAAACAGTGACAGTTTTGTTTTCCCCTCTCTGAATCGGATGTCTTTTATTTATTTTTTTCTTGTCTGATCACTGTGGCTAAAACTTTCAATACTATGTTGAATAGAAGTCGTGAAGGTGAACAGCTTTGTCTTGTTCCTGATCTTAGTGGAAAAGATTTTAGTTTTTGCCAATTGAGTATGATGTTGGCTATAGGTCTCACATATGGCCTTTATTATGTTGAGGAATACTCCCTCTATTCCCACTTTGCTGAGTTTTTTTTAATCATCAAAGGGTGCTGTACCTTATAAAATGCTTTTTTCACATCTATTGATATGGTTATGTGATTTTCATCTTTGCTTTTGTTTATGTGATTTAGTACATTTATTGATTTGCAAATGTATTATCCTTACATGCTTGGGATGAATCCCAGTTGGTCATGGTGTATGAGCTTTTTAATGTATTGTTGGATGCGGTTGACCAATATTTTGTTCAGGATTTTAGCGCTCATGTTCATCAGTGATATTGGCCTGAAGTTTTCTTTCTTTGTTATGTCTTTATCTGGTTTTGGGATTAGGATGATGCTGGCTTCATAAAAGAGTTTGTGAGTCTTACATCATTTTGGACTTTTTGGAATGGTTTGTGAAAGATAGGGGTTAGCTCTTCTTTAAATGCTTTGTAGAATTCTCCTGTGAAACTATCTGGTCCAGGGCTTTTGTGTATCTGAAGTTTTTTTTATTACTACTCCAATTTCATCTGCTGTTATTGGTCTGTACAGATCTTCTGCTTCTTCATTGAGTTTTGGAAGATTATATTTTTCTAGAAATTTGTCCATTTCACCTAGGTTTTCAAATTTCTTGGCATACAGTTATTTGTAGTAATTTCTTACTATCCTTTGTATTTCTGTGGTATCAGTTGTAATCTCTCCTTTTTCATGTCTTATTGTGTTTATTTGGGCCCTCTCTCTTTTTTTCTTGATGGATCTGCTTAAAGGCTTGTCAATTTAGTTTATCTTTTGAAAGAACTAGCTCCTGGATTCATTGATCCTTAGAATTGTGCTTTTAGTGTCTATGTCATTTAGTTCTGCTCTGATCTTGGATATTTTCTTTTCTTTTCTTTTTACTTGCTCTGGGCTGCCTTTGTTTTTCCTCGAGCTCTTGTAGGTGTAGGGTTAGGTTTTTTGAAATGTTTCTGTCTTTTTTAGGTAGACCTCTATTGCTGTGAACTCCCCTCTCAGGACTGCCTTCACTGTGTCCCATAAGTTTTGGGTTGTTTTAAATTCATTTTCATTTTTTCCAGAAACTTTCTGATTTCTTCCCTAATTTCATTCTTAACCTATTCATTATTTAATAGCATGCTATTCAATTGCCATGATTTTGAATGTTTTGAGGGTTTTTTCCTGGAGGTTGGTTTCTAGTTTCAGTCCCTTGTGGTAGGAGAAAATGCTTGACATGATTTCAATTTTCTTGTATTTGTCAAGGCTTGTTTTGTGTCCTAGCATGTGGTCTATCTTTGAAAATATTCCTTGCAGATTTGAAAAGAATTTGTATTTAGCTTCTTTGGGATGAAAGGCTCTATCTATATTAGTTAAGCCCATTTCATCTGGGGCATTGTTCAATACCAGAATATCTTTGTCTATATTTTGTTTGGAAGATCTGTCAATTTTTTACACTGGGGTATTAAAATTCCCTAGTATAATTGTGTTGCTGTCAATATATTTCTTGAAGTTTTCCAAGTTTTTCTTTATGTATTTGGGTGCGCCTATGTTGGGTGCATATATATTTACAATGTGTATGTTTTCTTGATGGATTCTTTCCTTGAGTATTACCAAGTGACCTTCTAGGTCTGTCTTTATGACCCTTTTTTTTTAAGTCTGTTTTGTCTGATGTGAGTATTGCTACCCTGGCTTTTTTTTTTCCTGTCCATTTTCTTAGAAAATTTGTTTTCAGCCCTTCAGTTTCAATCTGTGTAGGTCTTTTTTCCTGAGGTGGGTCTCTTATAAGTACCATATGTGTGGATCATGCTTTCTTATCCATTCAGCCATTCCATGTCTTTTGATTGGAGCATTTAATCTATTTATGTTTCAGGTTATTTGTGATAGGTACTTATTCAATGCCATTTTCATACCTGTGTTTCTCTCTCTCTCCCTTTTCTGTCCTTTCCTTAAAGCAGTCCCTTTATCATCTCTTGCAGAGCTGGTTTGGTGGAGAGGTATTTTTTCAGACTTCTTTTGTGTGAAAAGCTCCTTATTTGGCTTTCCATAGTGATTGAAGCCTTGCTGGGTAAAGTAGCCTCAGTTGCAGGCCTCTGGTTCTCATTATTTGGATATATCTTGCCATTCTATTCTGGCTTGGAGTGTTTCCATTGGGAAATCAACTGCTAATTTTATTGGGGCTCCTTTGTATGTTACTTCCTGTTGCTCCCTTGCTGCCTTTAAGATTCTCTCTTTG